GGACTGGACGTCCATGGTAAAGATGAGGTGTTGGGGACCGGGGAATTGGAAGTTCTGGAGGAGGTGGAGGGCGTGGGTGGTGTCACGGACATAGGTAGGGAGTTCCTGGACCAAGGGGGAGAAAATGGAGTCTAGATAGTTGGAGATCAGTTCGGTGGGGCAGGAGCAGGCGGAGACAATGGGTCGACCAGGGCATTCAGGTTTGTGGATTTTGGGAAGGAGATAGAAGCGGGCAGTGCGAGGTTGGGGAACGATGAGGTTGGAGGCCGTGGGTGGGAGGTCACCTGAGGTGATGAGGTTGTGGATGGTTTGCGAGATGATGGTTTGGTGCTCAGGGGTGGGGTCATGATCAAGGGGGCGGTAGGAGGAGGTGTCGGAGAGTTGGCGTCCGGCCTCGGCGATGTAGAGGTCAGTGCGCCATACTACAACTGCGCCTCCCTTGTCCGCGGGTTTTATGGTGAAGTTGGGATTGGAGCGGAGGGAGCGGAGGGCTGCACGTTCTGTGGGGGAGAGGTTGGAGTGGGTGAGAGGGGTGGAGAGGTTGAGGCGATTGATGTCTCGATGGCAGTTGGAGATGAAGAGGTCGAGGGAGGGTAGGAGGCCTTGGGGTGGTGTCCAGGAGGAGGGGGTGTGTTGGAAGCGGGAGAAGGGGTCAGTAGAGGGAGGGTTAGGCTCGACGGCAGTTGGAGATGAAGAGGTCGAGGTCAGCCTCTCTGCTCCTATGATGCTGCTTGGCCTGCTGTGTTCATCCAGCCCTGCACCTTGTTGTCTCTAAAAACATTCAATTGGATCGACAACAAAGCAATGTTCCTCTGATGAAGATGTGCTGGAGACATCAATGTGATTCATACAGTGGTAAATACTCCATTGACAGATATGGAGGTCTCTCCTGTACCTAGATGCATTCTCCATGGGAACATTCTCTTTATTTTGATCTGTGACCTGACACAACCTCAAAGTGACCAGGCTGGCATTTTAACTGACTGCACAAAACTTAATAAAGCCTCCAATCAAGACTAGCACCTTACCACTTTGTATGCAGGGGAGTTTTTTAAAATTCATTTGTGGGATGAGGGCATCACAGGCTGGGTCAGCATTTCTTGCCCATCCCTTGTTGCCCCTGGAGAAGGTGGTGGTGAGCTGCCTTCTTGAACCGCTGCATTCCTCCTGCTGTGGGTTGACCCACAATGCCCTAAGGAAGGGAATTCCAAGATTATGATCCAGCGGCAGTGAAGGAACGACGATATATTTCCAAGTCAGGATGGTGAGTGACTTGGAAGGGAACCTGGAGGTGGTGGTGTTCCCATATATCTGCTGTCCCTTGTCCTTCTAGATGGAAGTGGTCGTGGGTTTGGAAGGAACTGTCTGAGGATCTTGTGTGAATTTCTGCAGTGTATCTTGTAGATAGTACACACTGCTGTTACTGAGTGTCGGTGGTGGAGGGAGCGGATGTTTGTGGATGTGGTGCCAAACAAGCGGGTTGCTTTGTGCTGGATGGTGCCAAGCTTCTTGAGTGTTGTTGGGGCTGTACTCATCCAGGAAATTGGGGACTATTCCATCACACTCCTGACTTGTGCCTTGTAGATGGTGGACAGGCTTTAAGGAGTCAGGAGATGAGTTACTCGCCACAGTATTCCCGGGTTCTGGCCTGCTTTTGTAGCCACTTTATTTATGTGGTGAGTCCAGTTGAGTTTCTGGTCAATGGTAACCCCCAGGATGTTGACTGGGGGATTCGGTGATGGTAACACCATTGAATGTCAAGGGGCGGTGGTTAGATTGTCTCTTATTGGTGATGGTCATAGCATGTTATTTATGTGGTGCGAACGTTACTTGCCACTTGTCAGCCCAAGCCTGGATATTGTCCAGATCTTGTTGCATGTGAACACGGACTGTTCCAGTGTCTGAGGAGTTGTGAATGGTGCTGAACATTGTGCAATCATCAGCGAACATCCCCACTTCTGACCTTATGATGGAGGGAAGGTCATTGCTGAAGCAGCTGAAGATGATTGGGCCGAGGACTCTACCCTGAGGAACTCCTACAGAGATATCCAGGAGCTGAGAGGGCTGACCTCCATTCAGCCCTTTCAGCCTGTTCGATTTGATCAGGCCTGATCCTCTACCTCAGGAGTGTATTCCCACTTTCTCCTGATGCCTTTAATATCTAAAAATGTACCAAACTCTTTCTTGAATGTCCCACCCCGATGACATTCTGCGATAGGGACCTGAAACGCTAACTCTGTTTTTTCCTTCACAGGTGCTGCCAGCCCTGCTGAGCTTTTCCAGCAACTTTGTTTTTGTTCCTGTTTTACAGCATCTGCAGTTCTTTCGGTTTTTATTCAGTATTCCCATCATTTACCATATCAGGATTTGAACCTGCAGAATATTAATGGGGTTTCTGGATTAATAGTCCAGTGATACTCCCATATGGCCATCGCCTCTTGCTGTTTTAATTTTCTCAGGGAAACTAGCTTTTCATCACATCTTGACTAAAAGTCGAACATTGGTCCAAAACTTCCAATCGAGGGAGGAAGATTGGATGGGTAGTCCGCACTTGGAATCGAACATTGCCTCTCAGATCAAGTGTAGCTTTGGTTGGCCACTGAGTGGAAGTTTCTTCAATTCTGGCAGTGTGTCCCATGACCAAACGTAACTGGGAGTGGTGGGGGTGGGGGGTGTTGTTGGGGTGTTATCGTGAACTCATTGTAAAGGGAAAATTGTGTAGAGTAGCATTACAAAGTGTATATTGGGTCATCCCCAATAGAAGTAATTGACATCTTTTCGGTAGCCCTAGAACAGGAGTTATTCTTCTTCGACTGCAAAGTCAGTCCAAAACCTGATATAATAAGAAGAGCTGATTAAATTACAGCAACAAGCTTGGCTCTGATTAATGGCTGCCTAGCTGTAAAAGCAAATACTTATTTCCTGAATAAAGCAATGTAAGATGTGTTGCTCCCTTGCTCTGGCAAGCTGGGATAGCTGAATATCACTGAAGGTGACATTGCTGCCAGTTGGACCTGCTGCTGACATTAAGACATGGACGATCAGCGAGATTATTTATTTGCAGAGTTGGCTTGGCAGATGGTCAATAGAGTGAGCCTGAGAAGCAGAATCAGAATTAGAGGAGACTGGAAATGCTCAGCAGGTCTGATGGTGGAGAGAGGGACAGAGTTCCGTGTCTTGGGCCAATGATCTTGCATCAGAACTCGGAAAAGTTAGAGATGGAGCAGGCTTCGAACAAGGAAGGGTGGGAACAAGGATAAAAGAGACACCCGTGATAGGGTGGAAGACAGGCAAGATTAAATGACAAATGATTAGTCTGCCAGGGTTAAAGGTAATAGAATGAATGGCTACAGTGCAGGTAGAAGCTATTCAGTCTACACTGACCCTCCCACCCAAACATATCCTATTTTACCATGATTTAATCCACCTCGCTTAGGCATCCCTTGACACCATGGGACAATTTACCGATTTGGTAGATCTAACAAATCTACACATCTTTGGAACAGCAGGAGGAAACCCACACAGACATAGAACAAAGGTGCAGACTTCACAGACAGTCACACAAAGCTGGAATTGAACCCAGGTCCCTGGCGCTGGGAGACAGTAGTGCTAACCACTGAGCCATTGTGTCACCCTAGTGGCAGTAAGGGAAAAAAAGGAGCATAATGGCGGTACGGTGGCTCAGTGGTTAGCACTGCTGCCTCCCAGCGCCAGGGACCCGGATTCGATTCCACCCTCGGGTAACTGAATGTGTGGAGTTTGCACATTCTCCCCGTGTCTGCGTGGGTTTCCTCCGGGTGCTCCAGTTTCCTCCCACAGTCCGAAGATGTGCAGGTTAGGTGGATTACCTATGGGAAATTGCCCGTAGTGTTCAGGGATGTGTAGATTAGGTTGGTTGGGTCTGGGTACAATGCTCTGAGGGTCGGTGTGGACTTGTTGGGCCGAAGGGCCTGTTTCCACACTGTAGGGATTCTATGATCTAAACGTTCTATGATCTAAAATATGTATCCAGAACAGCTGTGCTGTTGTCTGAAAGCAACGATAGTGGAGAAAAATCAAAACATGCACAGAAAAGGAAATGCTTCCTGATCTGGTCTCTGTGTTCCTTGCTCGAAATACTGTACATTCTGCTCTCTGCGAAATACCTTCCCTCTGTCCTGAGCTTCAGTGACTGGTCATTTTAATTCCCTTTGCTCTCACGCTGACATCCCTGTCCTCAGTCTGCTGCTTTCGATTTGGATACTTTACAGCTTTCTGGACTCAACACTGAAGTCAACAACTTCAGACCATTAACTCTGATTTAATGCCATCGCCCCTGCTTCCCCAACCAACCACTCACGTTGCTTCCTTCTCTCTGCGTCTTGTTGCTTTAAAGTGATGTGTAAAAGAAGTGAAGGTGACGTGGACAAAAATCTTTTTCGCACAGCGAATAGTTAGGGTGGTTGGTATCTGAAATGCACTGCCTGGGAGGAAATCCCACTAATGTAAAAAAAGAAGTCCTCGGATGAGCACTTGAAATGTCATAAACGTTCAAGGCTGTGGGTCAAGAGCTGTAATGAATGTAGATTTAGAGTAGTTTTGTGCTGGTGCAGAATCGATGGGCTGAAGAGTCTCTTCTGCATTGTCTGATTTGTACAGGCAGTTGGAGCTGACAGCAGTGAGCTAGTTGGAGGGTGGGAGGAAAACAAGTGATCAGCGAAGATTCAAGATGATGAATAAAAGCAGCCAGATCAAATTTCTAACTGAGCAGGAGAACTTGGGATGTAACAAAACCCCATTGATTGTGAACGCCTCAACGTCGTACAAAATGACCTATCTGTGTGTATGAAAGGATGTTTGGCTTAAAGAGCATTGCCCATCACTTTACCTCCCTGCCCCTGTTTTAGGACGTGTGGCTGAACATTTTGTTAAAAAAAAAATTGCCTGGCGACGCGTTTCTCGGTAAATCGGGATGGGTTTGGCATCGCCACATCGAATAAATGTGCTGTTGACTCTTGCAGAGGACCCAGTTGATGTCTTACAAATACTGGACCTCCAGGACACCATGGACGGAGTTGTAACAGTCGCGGGATTTTGCACACATCGAAAAGGCTCTGAAGAGACGGATCTTGCACTCCGACTAGAAAACAAAACTCATTTCAGCGCCCTGACTACGCAGTTATTCCCAGGTGTGTTTGTATTTGTGGTTTGTAAGCTTTGGTCAATGCAATTCCTCCTGTGCTACAGACAGTGGGATGGGTTTCGAGTTGGGTTGGGGGGTTAGTTTAGCGGCCTACTGTGAATCAGAGTGCTTGGCTTGCCCTGAGGCTAAAATGGGAGGCTTAAGGTCGATTGTGAGCCCTTGTATTCGAGCACAAAACAAATCTGGTTCCAGGGTTCATGGTTCCAAAGATTAAACTCCTAACCAAGTGAAGTAAAATTCTGACATGAGCAAGCCTGCTCAGATTGTACTTATCAAACAATGCAGTACAAGGGGAGGTCACCTCTCTGAAAAGATAGCCAGTTGGCGAGACAATTTTTCGTTAATTTACGGAGCCAAAGATTACAAGCATATGACTCCTAACCCAACCTCACTGCAGTGCCTGCTTAGATGTTTGATCAGCTTCTTCAGATGTGTGGTAATGTTCCTCCACAGCCATCACTTTGTGAAGTTGGATTTAACTTTCTGACCCAGAGGTGGGGACACTGTCACTGCACCATGAGACCTTAGTGTCTCTATTTCTGTGCTGAAGTAAATGCATCCCCTCACCCCCCCCATCCCCATCCAGTCATTGTCCTCTACCTCCATACAGTTAAACACAATTGACGTCCATTTAAAAGCAAAACACTGCAAACCTGAAACAAGAAGAGAAAATGGCTGGAGAAACTCAGCAGGTCTGGGAGCTTCTGTGGAGAGAGAGAAATAGAGTTAACGTTTCGAGTCAGTTCTGAAGAAGTGTCACATTGGACTCGAAATGTTAACTCTTGTTCTTCATTCCATGGACGTTGCACGATCTGCTGAGTTTACAGTGAAGAATGTTGTTAGTGCTGGCTCTTTGGTGGATCTGTCTAATTACAAACATAAAAAACTAAAAACTAGGAGCAGGAGTAGGTAATTCAGCCCCTCGAACCTGTTCCACCATTTAATACAATCATGGCCGATCAACTCGACTCCTATTTCGGTCTCAACTCCACTTTCCTGCCCACTCTCCATAACCCTTTAATCTGTGACTAATTAAAAATCTATCGGTCTCCTCCTCACATTTACTGAATGTCCCAGTGCCCACCGCACTCTGGGATAATGAATTCCACAGATTCACCCGCCCCCACCCTTTAAGAGGAATAACTTCTCCTCATCTCTCTTTTAAACTTGCTGCTTCTTATCCTGAAACAATGAGCTCTCCTTCTAGATTGCCCCGATAGGGGAAACATCCTCTCCAAGCAACTTTGTCAAACTCTTCGGCATCTTACGCACCTCAATTAAACCTCTCATTCTTCCAATCTCAAGAGAATTTCAGCCAAAACTGCTCAGTCTCTCTCCATAAGTCAAACCCCAGTTACACCACCCCCATGTTTTTTGCTCATATACTTAGCTTTACATCTATCTCAATATGTCAACCACTTGTCTACTTCCCTTTTGGAAGTCACAGTTAAATCTTTTTCCAACTCTGCAGCTCAATCCAGACCAGAACCATTTGCTACCTTGAAAAGAAATGCTCCACATCGCCCCCTTTTGATTCTTTGACCAGCCATCTTCAATGTTATCCTTTCATTACCGACCCTTTTACCACAAGAAGCAGCTCCTCCTTATCTACTCTATCTGCATCAGTTTGAACAGCTCTTTTACATATTCTCTCCCCCTCTCCAAAAAGAATAATGGTAGATCCTCTTGTCTTTTTCATGTCAATAGGAGCAGCAGCAGGCCATTTGGCCCATCAATAAGATCTTACTGATCTGATTGCAGCCTTAGCTCTATCTTCTTGGCTGTCCTTCATGATCATTGCCTTGTCCAACAAAATTCTGTATAGATTCAATATATTCAATGATTTAGCTTCCACTACTCTCTGGAGAAGAAATTTGCAAAGACTAATGACCCTCTGAGAGAAGAAATCTCACTTCATTGAAGAGTGAGATAATTGCAGGCTTTGAAATTTAATCGAAAGTTGGAATCCTTAGCCTCTCATGAGGTATCCACAGCCCAAAATGATGGTCTCTTGATTCTAGGACGTTCCATTTGGGGAGAGGATGATACCAATGGAGAAAAGTGGTTTAGTGCCTTGAGTAGGCCAAGTTGGAGCCTGTGTGAATTCTAGAAGATCCACAGAGAGAAGTGATCGTCATTAATTTCAACGTGTGTGTCATTAAGGAATGTAATCGCGCCATACTTCGTTAATAAATACACTTATCAATTCATCTTTTTCTACAAAACTTTAGATGGACATTTTCCAGAGAATTTCTCCATCCTAATGACACTGAAGGCCAAGAAAATGTCTCAGTTCTTCCTGTTGTCCATTTACAATGATCAAGGGATACAACAGCTCGGGGTAGAGATTGGGCGATCTCCTGTCTTCCTTTATGAGGATCAAACAGGCAAACCGACTCCTGAGGAATACCCCATCTTCAAAAAAATTAACCTCTCCGATGGCAAGTAAGTACAGCACACTTTGACCCTTCCTCCTACCATTCAGTCACTCAGCAAAGTTTTTCTCAGATGCATCTTTGTGTAAGTCTTTGGCGGAATCATTTAGATTTGGTGATGGTGCTGACATCTCCAACGTACCTGTCCATGTTCTAAAGGTAGACTACTCAACAGCTTCCATTTATGCAGTGTGTTTAAGGAGGAAGATGTCCCCAAGGCACACTGTAGAAGGGTTATCGAACAACATTTGACAAGAGGGTTCTTGTAACGCAGTGGTAGAGTCCCTACCTCTTGACCAGGAGGTCCCGTCTCTGGATGTGATGGCCACAGAGAAGTGTTGTTAAAACGTCCGAGCTTAACACAACAAAGAAAACCAAAACCTGTTGTGAGATATGAGGACAGGTGGCCAAAAGGTTTGGTAAAAGAGGTGAGGATTATGGAATGTCTTAAACAAAGAGAGCTGGAGAGCTCCTTCCGAGGTACACAGTCTGAAGCAACAAACAGCAAAGAGCGAGGTCTAAGGTCATTCTAGTTTCCCCAGCTCAGTGTGGCTTTCAGTTGATGGGTGAAGTTTATTGGCAGGTAGACCTGCAGTCACTATACCATCCACCAGTGGTGCTGTCAATAGGATTACAGAGAAACGTTACAACAGAACGTGCGAATTGTTTCCACATGGACTGGGCAATATCCAGAACATTTAGAAATGTAGGGAACCAGGTTGTCCAGAATAACGACACTGGACGTGAGCCAAGACTTGGTCATTAAAAGGAGTGCTGTCTGACAGTGGCAATGATGGAATCCCTACAGTGTGGAAGCAGACCATTTGGCCCATCGAGTCCATGCTGGCCTCAAAGAGAATTCCACCCAGACCCACCCTTTTACTGTAACCCTTCATTTCTCTTGGCTGACCCACCCAGCCTGCACATCTCTGGACACTACGGGCAATTTAGCACGGCCAATCCAACTAGCCTACACATTATTGGATGGTGGGAGGAAACCGGAGCACCCGGAGGAAACCCACGCAGACATGGGGAGAATGTGCAAACTCCACACCCGAGGGTGGAATTGAATCTGGGTCCCTGGCACTGTGAGGCAGCAGTGCTAACCACTGAGCCACCGTGCCACCCAGTGATTTGAATATTGTAGAATGTTTGTGCCCCTCTTAATTGTTGACTGTCTCGTTCATCAAAATTCTGTTTAGATTATAGAATATGTCCACTGCTCTCTGGGGAAGAGAGACTGATGACCCTCTGAGAGAAGAAACCCCACCTCATTGAAGAGTGGCATATCTCCTCCCCTCTCACTCTCTCGATGAAAGAAAAATGACTGCAGATGCTGGGAAACTGAAGCAAACACAGAAAACTGCTGCAGGAACTCAGAGAGAGGAGCAGAGTTAACGTTTCGAGTCTAGTATGACTCTCGCTCGGAACTGGAGAACTGGACAGCTTCCAGACCTGTTGAGTTTCTCCAATATTTTCTGCGTTGGGTGTCCCCCCACTCCATCTCGTCCTTTCAAGACATTTTCTTACTGAAACCTTTTGGTCACCCAACTGAATGCTTCCTCTTTTTGAGTTGGACCAAAAATCGTTTTGTCCATGGCCGCTCCCCCATTGGGATGATGATAAAGGTCCGATGTAAATGCAGGTTGTTGGGGTGAAACATGCGACAGGGGGGTGAACTGAGTGAACAACTGTTGCTTAATTGGGGGGGGGGTTGCTTAATTGTTGCTCGAATGAGAATCTTTCCATCTGCTGAGTAAGCCTTGTACCAACGGTACATCATGCTCGAGTGACCAGTCTGCTAACAGCGCCCACCCTGTCTTCTCTGATGGGGCCCACTTCAATACCCGGGCTGGTTGTGTTTTGCAGATGGCACCGGTTGGCGATCAGCGTTGAAGGGAAGAATGTCACAATGATCGTTGACTGCAACCAGCAGATATCTGAGCATCTAGCTCGAAGTGACAACCCAGAGATCAGCACCAATGGAATCACTGTCTTTGGTACCAGGATATTGGATGAGGAAGTGTTTGAGGTTAGTGTGAAGGTTTGTCGGCCAATGGAGTCCGGTGTGCCTTTTTTTTTTGTGTGTGGGCTCTCTTTGTGTCTATCTTGGTCTCCCTCCCATCAATCTGTAGCTAAAGACACTAGTACTAAACTAATTCAGACAGAGCGGGAACAAACCCCCATATTCCATGAGCATTATGCCCTGAACTTTGAGCTGTTTACTGATCTCATTTGGAGTTATGATCAGGGTATTTTAAATTAAGGTTGAGAGCCCCTGTTTGGAGCAAAATATCTACTTCAAGCTCCCGATCAGGCAGGGATTGAGGTGGTATGTGTTGCCTTCAATAGTCTCACTCACTATCTTGGCTAGTGTGTGAAGAATCTTTGCAACGACACACTGCTGGGTGCCAGGCAAGCTAAAAATGCCAACATAATATGGGCAGAGGTTTGGGGAGGTTGCAGATGAAGGAACAGGGTGGGGGTCGTGGGAAATAGTCCTGTTTGAAGTCGCCATTCACATTTAGGCTTGAAACTGTCAGCATCCATTTGTTATCCAGGATACATCTGCAAAAGGTGAACCAGAACTTCCATCGCAATAAAAGAAATTATTTCATTTCAGAGTCAAATTGTGAGTTTGCAAAGTGGCAGAATTAAGGAGTGCCTGAGGGCTCAGTTCTTGGCACATGGCAACTCTAGATGGCGTAGGGGGTGGGGTTAGGGGAGAGACATTGACATGTGCCAAGGGTGGGAGTGGGTACACAATGCTTGCTGGTCCTTCAGGAATTTTGGGGGATGACTTGGAAAGCCGCCATTGAATTCCTTGTACCTTACTTTTAAGAACGTTGTGTGGCATGGAGGTAGTGTGCCTACCTCTGGCCCAGAAGGCCTGGGTTCAAGCCACACTTGGTCCAGAGGAGTGTAACAATTGTGAACAGGTTGGTTTGAAAATGCTGAGAGCTCCAATAGCCTCTCTGTTTGTGTGGTCTCCCCTCGAAGCTGCTTGTGGATGAGCCCAATCGGTGAGTATGTTGGAATATCTTGGGGCAAAGGGAACTATAGAGCAGAAAGATGTGTCCAACCCCTCAGAAAGAGCTCCAAATTCACTGTCACACTTTGGCGCTTTCTTCAGCAATCCCTGGTGCACTGTCCTTCCCAACTGATGTAGAAGTCGTAGAGTCATACAGCATGGACAAAGGCCCTTCAGCCCAACTCATCCATGCTGACCAGTTTTTCTAAACCGAACTATCTTACTTGCCTGCATTTGGCCCATATCCCTCCAAACCTTTTCCAGTTCATGTACCTGTCCAAATGTCTTTTAAATGTTATAACTGTATTTACATCTATCACTTCCTCTGGCAGCTTGTTCTGTATATGCACCACCCTCTGTGTGAAAAAGTCGCCCTTCAGATCCTTTTTAAATCTCTTCCCCTCTCACCTTAAACCCACACCCTCTAGTTTAGGACTTCATTACCCTGGGGGAAAAGACCTTGGCTATTCACCTTATCCATGCCCCTCCTGGTTTTATTAACCTCTATAAAGTCACCCCTCAGCCTCCGACGCTCCAGGGTAAAAAGTCTCAGACTATCCAGCCTCTCCTTATTAACTCAAACCCTCCAGTCTCGGTGACATCCTTGAAAATCAGTTTTTCACTCTTTCCAGTTTAAAAATGACCTTCCTGTAGCAGGGCAACCAGAATTGAATGCGGTGCTCCAAATGTGACCTGACCAATGTCTTTGTACAGCTGTAACATGAGTGTCCCAACTCCTGTACCCAAAGTACTCAATGCCCACTCCAGCTGAGAGTCAGTCTGTGTGACCTCCCTCACGTTTGATGCCCTCCCATTGACACTATTGTTTGATGGACTGTCCTCAATTGGCCTCGTGTACACTTTTCGATTCGGAAGGCGGTTTGCCTTGTTTCTGTGGCCGGGGTTGAAGCAGTTCAGGACCCTGGGCCTGAACAAAGACTCTTGAGCGTTCACGCAGTGATCGATCGATCAGTTGATTCGAGCAACTCTGCAATGACTGACCCAGAGACAAGGCTCATGCCATCGATGGGACCAGGCTGTCAGAGCCGGTCTAGAAAGGGGCCAGGAAATGGGCAGAGGCAGATGCACACAACGTCTGGTGCAGGTGCTGGTGCCAAGAGCTGGTTACCAAGGAGCAGATGTCGCTGAGCAGTATTGTGGATATGACCAGATGGTTTCCACACCCGGCTGGCCTGCCCTTGATGTGATATTTTATTAACTGTGCAGGGGATTTCCTGATGTGCAGAGCAAGTGGGTGGCTGTGTGCTCACATCCTGATCCTATCCCAGAATAGTGACCGCAGTTAGACTCGCTGGAGTCACGTCCCCCCGGCTGCTAATCTGCTCACTCCCGCCAGCTTCCCTAACCCTGGGGAAGTGGCAAGTTCAAACAAGTCCCACATTAGCTCCACGATCTCTGATCCAGTCAGGGACCATTAAATCTGCAACTGTTCTGAAAAAGCAAATGTGCATCAATTAAGAACATGCTTGGATTAATCTGAGATAAACTGCAAAGGAGAGTAATTTGTTGGCAACAGCCAAGTCAGATTGTTTGTTAGTTTGTCATTCAGCAACAGAGAAAATGAAGGCAGAATATACGTACCTCAAAGCGATTTGCCTTCTAAAGACGGCTGATTTCGCTCTGTATTTGGCCTTTATATTTCCTATCCAAGTCTCATTGTCTCTCTCTCCTTTTTTTGGATATTGTCCTCATTCTGTCTCGTTGAGTTTGGTTGTATGCTGTGTCAGAACATCTCTGCTCAAGTGCTCCCATGTGACTGCTGCCCTTGGTCTTGAGTATTACCCCAACAGCTCAGGGACAACCCTAGTTCCCTTGGGTCAGCTGTGATGCCTGCTGTTGTTGGCCAGCTGTGATGAATGGACCAAAGATCCTCAGACAGCACCTTCCAAACCCACAACCACTTCCATTTAGAAGGACAAGGGCAACAGATACATGGGAACACCACTCCCCTCCAAGTCACTCACCATCCTGACTTGGAAGTATATTGCCGTTCCTTCACGGTCGCTGGGTCAAAATCCTGGAATTCCCTCCCTAAGGGCATTGTGGGTCAACCCACAGCAGGAGGAATGCAGCGGTTCAAGAAGGCAGCTCATCACCACCTTCTCAAGGGCAACTAGGGATGGGCAAGAAATGCTGACCCAGCCAGAGACACCCACATCCCACAATGAATAGCGAAAAATAAAGCATCAAACCTGGGGTTTTCTTGAGTAGAGAAAGTCACGTGTCGTCAAACTTCTGAGTGTATATTTTTTAAACCATAGTTTGAATTAAAATTTAGCAACTAAGATAATATTTCTCATGATATTTGTATTTTTTTTAACTCAATTGAGTCATTTGAGATCTCGGGCAGTTGTCTGCGTTTTTTTAGTCACTCATGAGATGTGAGTGTCGCTGTCTGGGCCAGTATTTATTGCCCGTCCCAGTTGCCCCTTGAGAAGGTGAGGGTGAGCTGCCTTCTTGAACTGCAGCAGTCCTCCTGCTGTGGGTTGACCCACAATGCCATTAGGGAGGGAATTCCAGGATTTTTACCCAGGGACACTGAAGGAACATTGATATATTTCCAAGTCAGGATGGTGAGTGGCTTGGAGGGGAACTTGCAGGAGGTGGTGTTCCCATGTATCTGCTGTCCCTTGTTCTTCCAGATGGAAATGGTCGTGGGTTTGGAAGGCTCTGTCTGTTAATGTTTGGTGAATTTCTGCAGTGCATCTTGTAGATAGTACACACTGCTGTTACTGAGCGTCAGTGGTGGAGGGAGCGGATGTTTGTGGATGTGGTGCCAATCAAGCGGGCTGCTTTGCCCTGGCTGGTGTCAAGCTTCTTGAGTGTTGTTGGAGCTGCACCCATCCAGGCAAGTGGGGCATATTCCATCACATTCCTGACTTGTGCCTTGTTAATTGTGGACAGGCTTTGCAAGATCAGGAGGTGGGTTACTCGCTGCAATATTCCTAGCCTGTCACCTGCTCTTCTAGCCACTATGTTATGTGGCAAGTCCAGTTGAGTTTCTAGTCAATGGTAATCCCCAGGATGTCAATAGTTGGGGATTCAGAGATGGTAAGACCATTGAATGTCAAGGGGCGGTGGTTAGATTGTCTCTTATTGGTGATGGTCATAGCCTGGCATTTGTGTGGCACAAATGTCACTTGCCACTTGTCAGCCCAAGCCTGGATATTGTCCAGATCTTGTAGCATTTGAACACGGACTGCTCCAGTCTCTGAGGATTTGCTGAACATTGTGCAATCGTTGGCAAACATCCCCACTTCTGACCTTATGATGGAGGGAAGGTCATTGATGAAGCAGCTGAAGATATTTCGTGCATCACCTCAAGCCCAAGTAAAGATCCTACACCCAGGGTCACTGACAGTGATCAGCATTCAGTCAGTGAGTACTCAGAGCTGATGGAAGAGCTGGATTACTGATGGTTAACAACTGGATCCTTTTGGGAGTTATGTTTCTTTTAACAGCATCCATGAGGAAAACCATCTCATGTATCCTTTTCCCGAGTTATATGGGCTAAATGGGAGTCAACGAAGGTAAGTTCCTACAAGCAGCTGAGGAGGAAATTGCAGGACAGTCAGGTGTAGAAAAATGAATTTCTCTTTTGGCAGACCATTACTTTTTAGTGTAGGAATTATTTACTTTATTTGTTCATCAGATGTGGACATCATAGAGTCATACAGCATGGAAACAGTCCAACCAGTCCATGCTGAACATAATCCCAAACTAAACCAGTCCCACCTGCCTGCTCCTGGCCCTTATCCCTCGAAATCTTTCCTATTCATGTACTTTCCAAATGTCTGCATCCACTACTTCCTCAGGAAGTTTATTCCACACACAAACCACCTTCTGCATAAAAAAATGTGCTCCTCATGTCTTTTTAAACTCTTTCTCCTCTTGCCTTAAAAATATGCCCCCTAGTCTTGAAATACCCCACTCTAGGGAAAAGACAGCTACCATTAACTCTATCTGTATCCCTCATGATT